TGGCTGCATTTCTTATCATAATTGGTTCTTTTATTGTTTATTATATTATCAATTATTTAATCACTGGCAGAAATATTTCCAACGAAGGTTTTTTTTCTATTAATTTTAGAAAAATAGTTATAGTTATTATCGAAATTTATTGTCCAATATTATCTGAATATTATCTTTCCAAAAAGATTTTTCCAAATTTTTAAAATATCTGCTAAAATATAAAATATAAATATATTTTTATAAAAATTTCTGGATTTTTAAAAGTGAAATTTTAAGGAAATCAGAGTGTCATCCGTGAGGTTGATGATGAGAACAGTGACGTGGATTCCACAAATTTAAATGTTTCTGTTAGAAATTCATTGCCAGATCGATGGCTGTCCAGACGAAATTGGTTTTGTGACGCTAAAATGGTCTATAGAAAACTGGTGGTACTTAATTTTTCTTGTAGCCAAGCAGCTTGAGACTTGAAATAGACGTTTTGAAGATAGATTTTTCTTATTTGGAAAATATAGGTCTTATTTGGACATTAATTTATTAGACATTAATTTAGTCAAAATTTTCATATAATTTGTCATATAAAATTTCTCAAGAGCCCTGTCACTAACATAGATACTGTTACTTATAGGTTTGTAATCGGGTGTATTTGTTTCCCTTCTAAAATATAGGAATTACGCTAGGAAATTTCCAGAATTTCAGATTAATACCGAGAATTTTAAGGCTTCTTTAAAAATTCTATACAGTGGTTGAGCAAAGGAAGACAGCATATTTTTTACACATAATTTGCCGAATATTATCAGATTTTACGCATTAAGTATAGGTATGAACGTCCATTAGGGAGGTATCACTGGAAAAGGTGAAATTGAGATGATGACCCATGAATTAAAATTGAAATTAGAGAGATCTCCATCTAAGAAAACATTGGAGAAATGAATATTAAAAGCATTAATCCTATTAATATCATCGAGACTCATTCATTTACAAAAAAAATTTTAAAAAAAAGTAGTAAAAATTTTAATTTTTATAAGTTGAGATTTTTGAGGTTTTATTAATATTCCTATCCTCTCTATGTTATAAAAATTAAGGAATATTTGTTTGTGGTGAAATAGCAGGCAAACTGGTTAATTTATATTTTTATGAGAAGGTTTGATCTTTTTTTAAGAAATTTTAAAAATTTTGGGCTTCCTAATTTTTTTTTAATTGAATGAAACAAGATTTAAAAAACTATAATCCAAATTAACTGATTCAACTGAACAGGAAAAGCATATAATTCCATATATAATTCCATTTTATTTCAAAAACTGAGTTAATAATTTCTTGATTTAAACTGTGGTAATCTCTAACCTATAAGACATACGAAACTTCAAAAAGAATCTTAATGATATATTATGATATATTATTATTTTAGTGATAATATTATGGTCATTACTAAAGAATGGCTCCAACACATCTATAGCTTATAATTAATTTGACCAGAGCAACGTCTTATAATTAGGTCATTCAAAAATTTGGGCTATATTTTCGTGTCATGAATTGTGGTCGCATATTTTTCTTGCTGAAAAATATTTGTTGGCACCTCTGATAGCTATCATTGTTTTTTTTATTGTTTCTTTTCGTGGTTTGATTTTTTTTTGATGATTTCCAATAATTGATTTTAGTCTTTTTATTTTAAAATTTCCAATGATTTCGGATGATCAAACATGGAATGATTTTTCAGCCGTCGTATCGTATAAGTTTTAACCAGCATCCAGTAATGACCACTCGTAATATTTAAAAAATGAACATTGTGAAGATGAAATTCAATTCACGAAATATAGATCTCAATGATGTTTTACATTTCTTATTGCAAATTCTATAGATAATCCTTATCGGAATTGGTGGGAACTAATCTCAGTCTTATATTTAGTGTAAAAACTTAGAGTCCCACTTGGTACCACGTAGAATCGTCCGCAATAGCGAAAAAAGCTTAACTCCATTAGTACTCCATGATTTGATTGAGCGTTAGATAAAGATAAAGATACATTTAGAAGGTATTGTTTTCTGTTAATGCGGCACAAGTAACAGAAAATTTCCTACAAGATCGTTATTAAGCCTTACGTATTAAAAGTTTAAAAGTTTGCTGAGCGAAATAATTGAATTTAACTAAGATGTGACAAGATTCTTTGTTCCTTTTGGTAAATATTAATGATATCAAAAATACCTGAAATTTGCCATTACCATTTATCTTTACGCTGATGATTACAAAATATTCTCATTAATATTACTCATCTGAATGATTGGACAGTTTTTCTTCAAATTTAATTTGGATAGATGAATTTAATTTGCTAGTTTTCAGATAACATTCACCATTTCCAATCATTGATGCATAGTCTTATATATCAATTCCAAAGGCAATCATTTTATTTCACCTTCTGTTAGTAATAATCTAATGTTAATCATATATCTTGGAAATTGCTTTTGATGATTTTGCTATTTTTAGATTTGTTTGATTAATAGAAGTAATATTCATGACGTGGTCATAATCGTGGGAGACTGGAATGAGCGTAGGTCATAATGCAGCTGCGATGACCTGGACAATTAATAAATATGTCTTCGGACACGCCATGACATGCCGAATAGCATGACATGAGAAAAGCATGAATTTTTATTACTAGTAAAAATTGTATTTATTATATATTAGTCAGTCGCTTTTGGAAGAATTCCCTCCTAGATAATCGTTCCTATTGTGGCCAATCTTCATGGATTTGACCATGTTATGATCCGATCCGCAACTCGCAAACAAAAAACGACATCCCCCAAGATCCCTCAAATTAAAAAATTCAGGGATTTTCGGGGACAGTGAGCGCGTTTCAAACCGAATTATTGAAGCATCTGAATGGATAAATAATGTATAAATATCAATGACTTTTCTGGAACAGCAAACTTATATTGGTCCAAACTAAAGGAATGTTTCCGAAATTTTTTGAGGCCAAACTTAACTACGATGCACCATCTATTGTACCAAATATAACTGATTCGCACGCCGAGCAATACGTTTACAAGTGCAAATCACCAATAGAAGAGTAAATAATGTCTATAATCCATAAGCTTAAGGCCAATCAAACTCCCGAAGAAGAAGATCTTCAGGGGCCAAACTCTTTAAATGTTGCCATCATCATTAATAACTCACCTTCTCTGATATGGCAAAAGGAAATAATACCAAAAGATTGGAGCAAAGTAACACAGTTTCCAATTCCTAAGAAAGATGACAGGACGTACTGCGATAATTACCAAGGAATCAGCCTACTAGACATCTCCGGAAAAATTTTCGCTTCCATTCTGCTAAATTTACTCATGGCAATACGAGATAGCAGAATGCGTCCTAACCAAGCTGGATTCAAACCGGGACGCGGTTGTGCTGGCCAGATATTTACACTAACAAGGGTGCTGGAACATCACTTCAATTACCACCATTACTTACTTTACCGATTAGGCAGCTCCCTTCGCTTGATAGAGCAGAGCTCTGGAAAGTGATGGAATGTGACGGTGTTTCAGAGAAGATCATTCGGCTCATAAAGCCATTTTCATCATACCCTGGGCATAGGTCTGTATATATGAAGAACTGACAGAATCCTTCGAAATAAGAACTGGTGTCCGTCAGGGCTGCATCCTTTCTCCTACAATATTCAACTACTCGATTGACTGGATAACGCTAGGAAATGCAAATAATATGTCAACAACTGCAGCGACAATTGTACTCAAAAAAAATATGAATAAAACGAAAGTATTTTCGTCTTATGTACAAGATACTGATAAAAACCTATTTTATCAATTCATTGAGGAAGTGTTTGACTTTAAATAGCTTGGATCCTCTCTAATCACAAATGGCCAGGCAAAGGATGAAATTGTAACTCGGATAACGACAGTTAGAAATGTTTTTCCGTTTGATGAAAACTCTATGGAATCGTCGCAAAATCACCATGAAGACAAAATCTACGTCCATATAGTCCATATAATTCGCTCGACCTTGCTATATGGTTGCGAAATATGGCCAATGAGAGTGGAAATTATTAAGAAACCATTAGCCTTTGACCACTCATGTCTACGATACATTTTATGGATCCGTCGAGCGGATAAAATCGCAAATGATTGTATTCATCTTCGCTCAATTATATTTATAACGTCATCATAAGGCGTCGCCTTCGCTGATTAGGGCACGTTCTCCATGTCGCCACCACAGAAGTTGGCGCATATTTCGTTACTTGCTAAACCCTGGCGTCAAAAGCGAGATGGGCCGGTCAAGACCTGGATAGTTAGGAAAGATTTCGAACATATTTGGGAACCAGCGATATATGGATTAAGATGATGGAAAAAAGAATGGTTTCTATTACTGTTCTGTTACTGTCGACGATGGTATCAGATTGCCCTAGAAAGCGTCCTTATAGGGTAAGATTTTACCTAAAATCTCTCTGATCTTGCAATATAGCATATAGAAATGGTTAGCTTTTAGAAACAATAGGAGATATGTAATAGAAAAGTCGTTATCGAAAAGTAAATCATTTGAAAATAGGGGTAAGAAGTTTCTTATTGATATTTTTAAGATATTTATTCGACTCGTCCTGGAATATAATGTCATATTTTACTCTTCTAGATCTAAAAAATCTATTAAGCTTATTGGAAGACTGTGTACTTCTTAAACAGATTGAATTCAGATCCCATTAATTATGAGGCGAAACTTAATCATTTAATTTAAACTCACCGTGCTTCAGAAGAGTTAAACAAATCCTATTCTTTACTTATAAAATTTTGTTTATTCCCTTAAACTTGATTGTAATCGACTTTATGATCTTAACCTCAGTCCAAACGTTCCGATTTAATGAGATGGGATGGATTAAAATTCTTGGAAAGTCACGATTTTTTTATTTCCATTATCCATTACTGAAACAAACGTTCTAGATGCATGCTACGTGCTCCGACTGTAAATAGGTTCAGAAGGCAGATAAATGAAATTCGTTATATTATCCTTTAATTAGGTTAATAATAGACTTATAAAAATTTCAAATTTCATTCTCTTTCCTATATTTTTACATATGCATTTATTGTTATTATTTTCGCACTTTCTGGTTTCCTATATTTAACAATATTATTATAATATCAATAATACTACGAATTATATGAATTTATACTATATGAAATGTTTTTAGTAAAATAGCAACATAAAGCATTATGCTTGATTTCATTGCATAAATTAAAAAGTAAAGTGCATAGTATAATCGAAGTGCATAGCTGTATGCCTTACTTGGTTTTTGTTTTATATTAAGAAACAAATAAGTTTCTTCTTTATTCTGATTTTTTTCGATTTTTCTTATTTACTGTATATTTATAAGCCTTTTCTTAGATATGAATTGAAATTCTATTGTCATTTTGTCTTTAAGGGTAAGTGGTGGATGCATTGACATGAAAATTTATCTTGAGCAAAGGTCCGCAAGGTTTTGATTTTTCTTTGGAATCACAATTCCAGTTTTGTTTTAATGATTTATCAATGCATAATGCTTTACATTCCAATCTGTTTGAATAAAATTTCTGCATAATTAATCAATTTAAAAAATATTTTCGAAGGATAGTATTTTTATTTCAGAGATCAACGGATCGGTTGTTATTTAAGGACAATTTTTCATCTCATATAAAGCGTAAGATCTCAGTAAGAAGGCGCCATTCGAGCGCTGGGCCGCTTAATTTTGCTCGAGCAGCCAAAGAGTTTGTTTTCAATAATATTTAATGTTTAACGGCAATATTTTACAGCAGTATTCTTAGGGTTCAAAAAAGGCATGAGAGGATTGAATATAGTGCGTAATATTTCCTTGAAGCTATCGGACATTGGCAGGAAACGGTCATATTACAGAATACATCGATTTCGTGAATTATGTGTATTGTTTTTTTTTCGAAATGATTGGGAAAAATCGTTTTCAGTTTCATTATTCGTGGGCGTGGAAGATTTAAACGACAGCTTTCAGAATTAAATAGTACTGCATTACCGAAACCTCCGGTTGAATTTTTTGAACCGTTAGAGTTACCTGGTATACCCCAAAACTTGAAACCGGAAATGTTCTATATTTTACAGCATTTCAAGTATGAATCTTTTTATATCACTTATTTTTCCTATTCCTATCTTTTTATAATTTTATAATTTTGCGTATTTTTTTATAATAGAAATTTGATGAGAATTTCTTTATTTCTTATTTTGTAAAAAAATCTATCAGAATGTTGGAGCTGCCATCAGGTTGGAACATCAATCCTACTGAAATCGAAATCAAGTCGTATTTGCAACAAGAAATTATTGTGCAGTCAGACGATTCGGATGATAGCATTATTGTTGTTTTAGAAGGATCTATCGGTGTATACATCACAGTATACTTTTTTTCTTCACAAATTCAACATAATAGATAAAAATATATATTTTTAAAATTCACAGTATACTTTTTTTCTTCACAGATTCAACATAATAGATATTTTTAAAATAAGTCTTTTAATTTGGAAGATATTGAAAAGTAAAGATTTAAATGTTTACTGTTTAGATTTAACCCCACATAGATGTTATATTTTCGTGTGAAACTGGTAGATTTGATTTCATATAATATTTATGTATTAATATCAATATTATATATTAATATTTTTGAAAATTATTATTTTTATTATTATTATTATTTTCAAATTTATTTCTTTAATCAATCACTTTAAATTCTATTATAGCATGGCGAAACAAGGGAACATCTCGTTCGTCGCATCAGTGTCGGCGAAAGTTTTTTCAGCTTTTTATCCTTATTAGAAATATTAATAGTTAGTTGTTCTTTTTTGGTGTCATTGTACTGCAAAAATTAGTTTAATTCCTTCTCTTCACTTTTGATAAAAAGTAAATCAAGTTATTTAATCTCTCTGACATTTTATATACTTTCGATTTATTATTGTAAAAATATAATCTGGTGCATTTTTACTTATTTCTGAATTTTAGAAAGCAGAATATAAATTTCGGAATGTATCGGTTCGTGCTATCACGGATTGTCGCATTGCAAGGTCTGTTTCTCATTGGCTGATATTTATTTTTTCTCTAATCTAATCTTAAATTTGTAGATATTTTGTGATTGTTGTTAGGAAATGGTCTAATCGAATTTTTTCCATGGATAACTGAAATAATCCACTTATCATCTGATATAAGAAAAATTTCCATGTTTAATTAGTTTTGACTGCACAAAATTTTAATTTTTTTTAATTCAGGAATTTCCTTTTGTTTTAAGGTATCGAATACATAGCTTTCGCGATTCATTTTTAAAAAATCCCGCTGATTGGGTTCGCCCGATCCAAATCGTCATCACCAGACTGCTTCATGTTACACTGACTACTCTTTATCAATATTTGGGATTATGTAGCGAGTTAATGAAGAAGGCAAACAATTTTTAATTTTATTTTTCTAAATTATATTTGAATTTGAATTGTATTCACATTTATTATTATTTGGCCTTGTTTTTTAGATTAGTTGATTTAAATCAGGATTCTGAACTATATTTTTGCCGTGGCGATTTAGCGATCATGAGGATACATTCAAATAAAACCTCCAAATGATCAGTGATTAGAAAATAAAAGCATAAATTTTTTTCTATCGAATTTTTTGAACTACAGAGTTTTTGAATATTTGAAATAAAATGTATAACAAAAAAATATGATTTGAAAATTCCTGTGAATATCTTCATTGATAGTAAAGTCACAAATGCTGTTAATACTAGTACACCTGTTACATTCACAGTTCAAGAAAATGAAATTTAAATTAAATTTGAAATAGATGATCAGTGGTTAGAAAATAAAAGCATAAATTTTTTTCTATCGAATTTTTTGGACTACAGGTTTAGATTCTATTTTAAATCATCTTTTTTATTTAAGTTCTGTGGAACTTAAATTTCATCAGGTTTTTTGTGTTTCAGAAAATAGAGGATAAACGAATAATCAGTGATAAGAATCAACTTTCTTCAGGGTCTTTGCGCGTACGGAAGAATAAATATCGCATTCACAAATTGAAAAGTATCGGCGGTATCTTTTTTTTTCGTTTTTAGCACTAATTTTTCTACATTTTTGGTTGTTTGCGATCTTACGAGTTTCCTGTTTCCAGATTCGAACGAATATATGATCAGAGCACAACGTTTTTTCGTTGAAGCACTGAATCTTGATGAAAATTCTGAAGCTGTTTCATTTCTTCAGGACCGCATACAAATCAAAACAATTCCTGAAAATCATCTTATTCAACAACAAGGTGCTAATAGCGACGAAATGATTGTAGTTGTTGATGGTATTTTGAAAGTTTTTCAGGTATATCATATACATTCTTGCTCGGTAATTTTGAGTAACAATGCAGATCATCGTATTATAGATTCCAATAGATGATGAAGATTGTACAGATGATCAATGGCATCATTTTATTTATCCTCGAGAATTATTTGGTGCATTGCATCTCCTCACCAATGAAGCTTCATTTTATTCGTTGCAATCACACACATGCGCAACCATAGCTTATATTAGCAAGAAAGATTTTTTTGAGTTAGTATTTTTATTTGTTCTTTTATTTGTGATGTTGTTTCAAAAAAAAACATCTACCTCCTTAGCCGTTCATAATATTTAGACTTGTGGATCTGAATCCCGAGGTTATCTTACCTGTTGCTTATTCTGTTATACGTCGGTTAAGCACTTTCGTAAGGAATGTTGATTTCGCTATTGACTGGGTTCTTCTGGATTCTGGTCAAGCCGTCTACAGGTTAAAAGCTAACTTATAATTTAAATATATCAGCGATAGGGTTAAAACTTAAATTTTTTTTTTGCAGGAGTGGTGATATTGCCGATTCAGTGTTTGTTGTTCTTAGTGGGCGCCTGCGTTCTGTTGAAAAACAGCAAGTGGTTGAAGAATTCGGCCGTGGTGATATGATAGGAATGATTGAGGTAAAATATTTTTTTGACATTTTTGACACATATTCTAGCATTTTTATAAATTTCTATTTTTGCATTTGTGGTTTTCGATTTTTAAACTTTTAGTTTCATAAACTTAAATAAATTTTTCATTTCAACAATTTTCTAATTTTTCGAAATCGAAATGGTTTTTAAAATTTATTATTTAAATATTTATTAAATATTTTTAGAATATTTAAAAAATATTTCATCATGATACTCGTTTGATTCTTTTAAAGGCTCATAAATTTTAAATTTGAATATCTAGTAATAACTTTTCTTTATATTTTTGAAAGCTGGAAGTAGAAGAAAAGTATTTCATCTTTCTACAGTCATTTTTCATTTCATTTTGAGGTGCTTCAACGAGTTCCACGAGGGACGACGGTGCTTGCAACACGTTTCTCTCAGCTCGCTCGTGTATCTGAAGGTCTTCTTAATTATATAAAGCTGAAATATCCTCAGGTATATAATTTAAGAGGATTGGAAAGCATGGTTGCATTTTTCAAGATGTGTTTGTTCTTTTAATTTCTTGAAGTTTTTTTATCTCAGGTTGGATTTACCCTTATTCATGTACTTGGCCATTATTATACTTCTTCAGTAAAACGACCATTGGTTTTCAGTACGACTTTTAGAGATCGTTTCTTAAGTTCTGCTGGTGATCCTAAAAGTCACATAAAAGTAAGCCTTTTCTTTGGATATGCCAGGAATCTTTGAATTTTCTTCTTCTGTATGAGTCCCACCATCTAGCTTTTGGTTTCTGATTATTTGCAATACTGTTTACTTTCTTCCAAACCCTTTCTGAATGTCGATTTTTTACTTAAACTTTTATCTCTTCCTTATGATTTTAGAATTTACGGACAATTGCTGTAACTGCAGCATCGAAAGAAGTTCCTCTTGTTGCATTCACCTGCGAATTGTTTCATGCACTTAGTGCACATGTACGTGTTTTGCGCTTGAGCAGCCAAAAAGTTGCCGAACATCTGGACATCGGCGTTCTTCAAAAGTAAGTAATGGATAGTCACGATAAATTTAAGTTTAGACTTTTTTTTCGCTAAATTTCGTTTTTGCTCGTGTTCACTCTATTATCTAGCGAAAAAAATTAAAATTGCAAAAATTTTAATTTTTATTGTTGGTAGAGCAATTGTATAGAATTATGCTTATTATGCTTAGAATAGTTTTTCGAAATTTTTTTTAAATTTGCCAAATTCTTCAGGTTTTTATCGAATGAAAACGGTGATGGGTAAATAAAACTATTTATTCTTTTAAACTATTTATTCTTTCTATTCATTTATTTATTCTTTTAAAATTCTTTTAAAACTTTTAAAACTATTTATTCTTTTTGTTTTCTCTTCGATTTCGATTGGGTTCATAAATATATCCCTTTTTGCATCTACATCGTCTTCTATGATATTTTATTCATTTCTTAACGAACTTTTAATTTTAAAAAAATTTAGGCAAGCAGATTTCCGTCTTATGCACTGGCTGAATATGCAGGAAGATATATATCCTCTTATAATTTATGAATGTGACGAAAAACCGACTAACTGGACTAAAAAGTGCCTTAGGCAGGCCGATGTGATATTATTTGTTGCTAAAGGTGATCAAGAGCCAGACAAAAAGTCGTTTGTCAGTATTTTTATAAGTTTTTTAATTTTTTAAAACCAATTTGAAATTTTTGACATAAAATTTAAAGCATTTGGTATTTTTGGGATTTTACCATTTTCCAGTGAATTCATAAAACTTTTTAGATGGATGAATATCTGAGGATGAATCAAGATGGTATTCGCACAAATAAGGAATTGATTTTACTGTGGGACGAAGACACAGACACTCCTCGTGGAACTATGGAGTGGTTGAAAGGAAATTGGTTTTCTGGTCATCATCATGTTCGCGGAGGAAAACGGATGTTTCAGTGGGCTGAGCAAAAGGTTAATTTAAGGTGAAATTATTGTCTTTCTCAAAGGTTTCTTAATTCATTTGAATATCTTTTATAATTTTTAGAAAGTAGAACAAGAAATTCTCGATTTCTATGAAAAAAATGTATACATATCCAAAGTCAATAATCAGTCTGATTTTTGTCGTCTTGGCCGAATTTTAACGGGTAATGCTATAGGTGTTGTACTTGGAGGCGGAGGAGCCAGGTTTTTTCATTTATATTTTTTTATATTAATAGACTATGAAATAAAATTGAATAAATATGTTAGTAAAATACAAACTTACATCAGTAAATAAAACTTTGGAGTTTTATCTAACTTGAGTGTTTCAGAGGGGCTGCACATGTCGGCATTTTACGAGCGTTAAATGAATTTGGGATCCCGGTTGATATGGTAGCTGGCACTTCAATGGGTGCATTTATTGGTGCATTAAGAGCTGAATCAGTCGAATCGGAAGAAATTAAAATCCGTACAAGTGACTGGTTTGGAGTAAATTTTTTCCCTTATTTTCTTTCAATGTAACTTTGTGTTTTAATAAATTATCATCAGCTTGAATTTAGTCAATGTGTTCATTTTGGCTAAGACTTTGGGATTTAACGTATGCTCACAGTGCAATGTTCACTGGGACTGGATTCAATCAGACCATTCAAGATGCTTTTTCTGATAAGCAGATTGAGGATCTTTGGATACCTTATTTTTGTGTTACTACAGATATCAGGTTTTTCATTTAATATCATGAAATATGACGTGTTCTTCGTTAACGAAATCAAATAATCTTTTAAATTTTAGTAGTTCAGAAGCGCGTGTGCATAGAAGTGGTCCCTTATGGGCTTACTGTCGTGCGTCAATGTCTCTTGCAGGATATCTTCCTCCACTTTGCGATCCCGTTGATGGCCATTTGCTCTTGGATGGTGGATATGTCAACAATTTACCTGCCGATGTCATGAAGTTAATTTTTTTTTTATTTTATTGTGCAACTGGTGAACCAGCAGATAAAAAATTATTATATTTTCTTGTTAAATTGTATTTTCTTTTTTCCAAAATCTCAGCTCAAATTTCCCTTTTCTCAGTTTTATTTTGATTTGATTTTTCTACATCTCTGTATTGTTTTTTAAAGATCAATTGGTGCCAAATTTGTCATCGCTGTGGATGTTGGATCTGCTGTTGAAAATGATCTCTTTAATTATGGTGATTCTTTGAATGGTTTTTGGGTCCTCTTAAAAAAATTAAACCCATTTGGCAAATCAGTGAAGATTTTAAATATGGAGGAAATTCAGGTGAATTTATTTTTTAAATTCATTTATCTCAATTTTTTAATCTATGGCCTATATATTTCATAATTTATCCTAAGGAAATGAGAAAATGTCACATTTAATTTTTATTTTTATTCTATTTTAGAGTAGACTAGCATATGTTTCTTGTGTTCAGCAGCTGGAACAAGTCAAAAATGCATTATATTGTTATTATGTTCGTCCACCGATTGAAGGCTTTAAAACTCTCGATTTTTCCAAATTTTTAGAAATTGAAGTAAGTAGATATTTACTTTTTATAATATACAAATATTTTTTTGATTTTTTAAAGAAGTCTATAATAACTTAAAGTTAGTTAAATTTTTATAGTTAGTTAAATTTTAGTTTTGTTAATGGTTTTATTATTGGTTATTATTTAATAATTTTTTTCTAGAACATTGGTTATGAACATGGGATGGCCGTGTTCCCCGATTTAATTCGAAAGAATGAACTAATTCGAAAATTTGTTGATGCTGAAAAAATTCGAAAATTAAGTACACATAATGAAAAGCGAGGAACAATGAAATTAGTTGTTTTCGACCATGCATTATCATCATCTTTTACAAATCTTGCCGCCCAAGCATCTAAAGTGCCAAAGGCGAGAAATAAAAATAATGCCGATTCATCAGAAGAGGATCCATTACAAAGTTCAGAAGAAAGCAACAATGGTGGTGTTAATATTGATAATGCTTTTGACAAATCAGCCATTGTCGATGGTTATGCTAGTGAACCTTCTGCTCATAGTAATAGTTATTTTCTTAACATTTCTAGTGGAGAAGAGAGTGTTGATGAAAATTTGCTAATCCATCAGAATCGTCGTCGCATTTCATTTGTAGATGAAAAATTTGATAAATCGCCAGCAAACGACAATCATAAAACCTCTTAAGTTTTTCTAATAAAACACAATTACTAATTGAAACAATATCTTCATCAAGCTAAGTTCACGTTTAATTATTTGTTTTGTTAATGTTTTATTTTTTCTTTTTTTAATAAAGCTTTTACATGACTTGACAAACATTGTTTTTTGAGTTATCCAAGTTTTACCATTTGCTGTCCTAACATTTTTTTAAAATTTGTTTTTATAGACTGTTCGTACTGAGAGAATTAAAATTGAAATTAGCAACATCCTTCTTCGGTAGAATTGAAAGATTTATTTGAATTATTCGTGTTTTCTATTTATTTGAATGCGCGGACCGTTATTATCAAGCTTTTCTGTTTTCCTCATTATGCTTGTGCTTGTTTTTGAACTTACATAGCTTTTTTTGTTTTCCATATTATTATTATTCACTTTATTTTGTTTGTATTAGTTCAGTTTCCGCATGTGATGAAGGCACTATAGTGGATCAAAAATTTAGCTTTTATTCGTCCATTGACTAATCCATATAGCTATATTTTTGCATTCTTATTTTTCTTATTTTTTATAAGATCTCTCTCACAATGGAAATAGAAACATTCCATTATTTATTTTCGATTATAGCTTAAGGGGGAGGCATTTTTCAATCAGTATAAAATAATTTATTAAAATTTGTTATTCATTTATCTTTTTAGCCTCTGTCTCCTGTCTCCTTAGTATATCTTATTAGCCTAGTGGCCAGCGGCCTTTTTTTTAGCAGTTTCTAGGGCTTTTGATGGAGTGGTGGAACCTTTGCATTTTTCCATCATCGGGATCCTATTCTCAATTTTTCTGTAATTTTATTAAAATCATAAGGTGTGTTAATAGTACTATATTTTCAATCAGTTCCTGATTATGGTCTTATGAATATTATCTTCTCCTTATTCAGTGATCTCTACAGGTTTTTATTTATTTCCTTGAGATTTTTGTATTTCCATCTGAATTATGAGATTTACGAGTAATTAGATCGTCTTCTTGAAGTGCGCTTTTCGGGATTTTGTCATCAAATTTTCTTAGTTAAACGTTTTTATAATTAGCCTTTTATTAAATTCGATTTTTCAGCGGGTCAGTCGCTCTCCAGTTTTTGTTCTTAATTTCCTAATATTCCTTTAGTTTTATTTTATGTTGATTTTCAAATCTTCAAGACTGTTTACCTTGTGAATTTTTTTTGAATTTCTATGAATTTTTTTGCTATTGTTTATGCCATAATAGTCGTAAAAATTAGAACTGAATTTTCTTGTAATTATGTTTCTTGTCCACATTTTACATAAATTTTTTATTGTTTTTATTATTACTGTATTAGTTAATTATTGTTATTTGATATTAATTAATATTTAATATTTTCATGTCGTTTAAGAGATTATACATTAATTCTTATGCAATACAAATTTAGCTGGAAATTTGGTGTAAAGGTGTTGCTGACTATTTGTTCATCAATTGCATTTGTTTTCAGTTTTTATTATGCATTTAATGTTTTTTTTTGCTATGTACTTTTGAAAAAAATTTTTATGTAGGAAATTCAAAAAAAAATTTTGATAAATCGGTTAATTGTTTTGTAATTCAATTTTGGTCGACCGAAATCTGTTATCTTTTGTAAACTTTTTTTTCAAATTTTTTGTTTCTATTCGTTTTTTATTTATTTTCTTCGACTTTTTTGGATTTTTCGCACTTGAAATTATGCAGTCTAAGCATTCATGCAAAATAATGCGGGTGAATGCTGCGGAAGTTCATGAGCCTCTAACGTTTTCGATGATGAATTTATGTTATATCATCGCATTACTATGTTCGAAAAACAGTACAGTCACGAATAATATTAATCCAGTTTGAGAAGCAAAAATAAGAAATAAGTCAAAAATAAGAAACAAAATTTTTTTTATTGTTGGGGCCTACTTTTACTGAAAATTTGGCATTCATAATATAATATAATATAATATAATATAATATAATATAATATAATATAATATAATATAATATAATATAATATAATATAATATAA